AGGGTGGAGGGTATCAACCACGGGGGTGGGGAGACATCTGTAATAATTTCAACAACAAAGACAAATTCTTTTAAAAAAAAGGTATTTGCATCTTCTTTTATAAAACAATGCTGACCATTTTAAAAGCTGAGAAAAAAATGCTGACTGCTTCCATTTCTCTTACTATGTTCCTTATATTTTAAGTTCTTTGAAAGCAAGAGAAGATATTTTCTCTTTTCATAGCCCAGCCTTTAACATAATCTTCGGAAATAAAGTGTATAAATCAAATCTAAAGGTCATGGCTTTAGTAACCTTTTCAAAAACGAGTAACATTCAAGCAGCTTTATTTTGAATGGAAAACCAAACATTTGGAAAATATAAAATTGCCTACTAGAGGGATCACAGATCTTTTCAGTTTCAGATTTCAGTACTGTTACTTGAAAGCTGTGTCCATTTGGGTCAATTACATGAGTTTTTGGACCCTCATTTATCTGACCAGGAAATCTCTACCAGAAAAGACTGAGAGGAGCAAGATGTGAAGGTCTGCAAATCATTGAGCACAACTGGTAACATTTAAGAGGCACTCGACAGATGATAGCATCTCTGCCACCTGAGCGCCAGAGCAAGGGCTATAGGACGTATCTTCAAACAAGACACATTCTCCAGGACAGGTGGTCCTGTCTCGCTCATCTTTGTAAGTAAGCTCTTTGGTGCCACTGCCAGAAACATTACCTCTTTTTTCCTTCCTTTCTTTCACATTCCTGTGTTAAAACACAGCTCATTTACTCCTCTCGAGAAGCATGAGATACCTGAGGGACGATGCTGGCATTTCTCACACTGGGCAAGACAAGTACTAAGAAACAACCGCTGCAAAGATTGTTTCTTTTTACACTTTTTTGTTTCTCTAGGGTGTGTAAATGTTTGCATGTTTGCAAATATCACCTAACTTGTTTATCTGACCTACCTGCTTATTCATAAAGCCCTCTTTAAGGTAGTTTTCAACCTCAAGTCTCAAAGATATTTTAGAAAAAACAGACATTTTTCCTATGGCCAAGAAAAACGCTGAGCACGACGGCTGTCCTCTTCCCAATCACAGTGAGCAGCGTCCGGACGACGACCAGGACCCACGACGCGCCCGGGGGACCAGGCCGCTCGCGCCGCGTTACACCCGCAAGTGCGAGTCAGCACCCAGGAGCCGCCGAGCGCCGCCACTTTCCTCCGCTTCCTCGCCGCCTCCACACCGGTCCCCGGCCCGCCTTTAGGGACGCTCACGACGCCCCTGGGAGGCAATGCCACTCACGTCGCCGGGGACGACAGAAAGGCACCACCAGCGAACCTCCGGGGAACCGGACGGAGACCTGGAAGCCAGGCCCGCGGCGCCTCAGTCGCACTCGACCTTAATGCTTATTTTGCAGACCCGCGCCCTCAATTTCTCCGCAGAAAGCGCTCCCAGATTATGTCACTTCCGGCTACGTGGCCCAACCCCCCCCACCCCGCCTACCAATC